AAAACGTTTATAAAACATATCATTGACATCTGGATTCATAAGGTTAATGAATAAGAAACTGTATGGTTCTTCCGTAGCTATGTTATAAACTTCTAACAATAATTTCTTTGCTTCTGCTAGGTTCTTGGCGTCCGCCACCGTTGATTTCTTAATTAGGACGGCGCTTAATTCTTCAACCATTGTTTCAATCTCTTTATAATTTCTCAAACGGAAGAAAAATAACTGACGACTATTGACACGAATAATTGGACTTAACGAATTAAACTTTTGAGTAGCTGTTATTATGCAACAGGCTTTATGTCTGCCTCTCACGTATAGCTGGTTTAGTAAAGGTGAGTTTCTTGAAAATTCCTTTGAGTCCGCGAAGTCGTCTACAATTATTAATATTGAATGCAATTGTTTATGTCCGTTCTTCTTTTGGTATTCAGTTATTTTATGTTGTCTTGATATAACGGCTTCCAATTCTTCGGGCTTGTATTCATCAAAGAAGACCTTTTCCTTTTCCGTATCTACCTTCAATTCTGTCTCTATATATCGCTTAACAGGTGTCCAGTTAGGGTCAATTGAAACAGACGGCGACCAGACATAAACTCTTGCGAAGACGTCTCTGTAAATGTCTAAAATAAGCGATTGTAAAAGAATTCCTTTGCCACTTCCAGATGGACCTGTTATAATCATTGAGAACGGCAACTTTGGAGCTACTTCATATTTGGATTGTTTAAAATCGTACTCTTTTACGTTTATCGGTTTGACTATTGGAATATTACTCATTAATAATATTTAGAAATTAATTTCTATTAAATGATGGTGTTTATTGTCACCCGTTGCGAGCCCCCTGTCAATATTCTATACTGTTATAAATACTTACAAATGATAACAGAGTAAGACATTATAACAAAGAATTCAGAATTCGTTTGTTGAAACAGGAACAACACCATTAAATCTTAAAGCAATTGTTAATAATTATTTTTAATTATTAATAATATAATGAGTGATGACGGTAAGTCTGATAAGAACGGATTTCGCATTGATACAAAAGGTATCTCTTGCATTCCGTGTAGATGCAAAAGGCAGTTTTATCATAAAGAAACTAAAACAACCACAGAAAACAATGTAACTACAACTAACACCATTGAAGACAGGAGAAATATGAAGTTCGGTTCAACTGGTAGACATACTTCGCCTGATGAAATTTTTAAGCCGGAGAATGTTTTACAAAGCGGAAGCGTTGAGATATGCGATACTGGATGGGGTTCAAAAAGTATTACGCCGGAAGAACTGGAAGAAAGAGTAGATAAGCTGGAAACATCTCTTGATGAAATAAAGAAGGACGTTGAAGAAGTAAAGTTGCAAAAAATAATAATAAGTTTGTAAAATAAAATAATATAATATGAAGAAAGAAGATTTTAATATTGAATTTAATGAAAAGCCTAGAATAACAGGAGACGAAGGTAAAATAAATAAGCAATGTGGAAAGTGTGGTGGATTTAAGAACTTGTCAGATTTTAAGCATAAGACGAAAAACGGTCGTATGAATAAAACGTGTAGAAGATGTTTAGAGATGTCGCATATGTATCATATGAAACATTTACTTCTGGCTCAGGATAGGATTATAGCAGAAGACAATAATTAACATTAATTATATTAATAATTAATGCTAATTAATCTAGTGTTTCCAATCACCTATACCATTCCAACATTCACTAATTTGTGTTTTAATAGGATAATAAATATCAACTACTGCATTACATTTCAATTTGTCTGTTTTACAACATAAGAAATAGCATAAAACATCATAATTATAAACCATTGCTACTTTATCACCTCTCTCATTAATCTTTTTACCGTTTTCTTTGATTAGCTTTTCATCCATTATATTTTCATATATCTCTTTCATCCATTCGTGATTGGGTCTTCCATATTCACTAATCATATTTAACGTTTCTCTTCTTGCATATTCGCTTTTTGTGTTACGTGCGTGTGTAAGTAATAGTTCCATAACTTCTTCATATTTTGGATAGGGGTTATTCTTAATAAAAGATTTAACTTTGTCAATCACGTTCTCTATCTTGCTCATATTGATTTCACTAATATAATAAGACGTTTTATCTTTAAGTCCTTTTGTCTTGGACGAAAGTGATTTAAAATGAACGTTGAATAAAGAATGTAGTAATGGAAAACGTATCTTTATATGTAAATCATCGTTGTATGTTATGTGATAAAGTTATTCATAAATACAAATTTTTGAGTAGGCACCTGAATAGCAAAATACACAAGCAGAAGATGGAAGAAATACTACGAGAAAGAAGAATTATGAAAATGATGAATAAAACAGACAAATTGAGAGAGCTAGATGAGAGAATGGAAAACATAATTGTTAGTTACAGGGTTCATTTTGAAGATTAGTTTTCATAATAATTAATTATGAAAATTAAGTAAGGTTCACGCCTAGGTTCGCGGACAGGGGGTTTGGGTAAGATTGTTGGGTTAGGTTCGCTTGGATTGGTTTGGGGAAGTTGGGGGTTAGGAGCTTTGGTGAGAGGGGGTTTGGGTTGATAGGAGAATTGGTAAGAATGGTTTAGGGTATTTGGTTATGATAGGTTATGAGGATTGTTAAGGTCTTTTTGGTGGTGTGGTTATAGGATTGTGGGTAAGAATGGTTATCGGGGAATATGGTGGTGTGGTTATAGGATTGTGGGTAAGAATGGTTATCGGGGGAATATGGTGGTGTGGTTATAGGATTGTGGGTAAGAATGGTTATCGGGGGAATATGGTGGGACGGTAGTCCGCGAACCTAGGCGTGTCTATGTCTAGCTCAAGGGGGGGGTCTCTAACCCAGGGCCCCCCCCCTAAGGCTCCTAAGCTTTCCTAAGGCTCCCTAGGTACCTACCCCCCACTAGGGAATGAGGGGAGAACATAACCTATGGAATCCCTGAACGGGTATGTATGGGCACGTATAGGGTACCCAATTCCCGCGATGTATGTACGCTTGTATATATATATATATATAGGAGACGCGGCCAAAATTACCGCATCCGTATTTTAGTAGACACTGTCAATGAACCCGACAATCCGAGCAATGGTCCTGATGTGCTGTTTTGGTTGTCGGGATCAGACATGGGTTTGGGGTCGCCTGGGCAGGTGACTGCTAGAAGACGTAGGGGCGAAACTGGCGAAACTCACCAGGGCAAGAGTGGCGGAGATCTGTAAACAGCATCAACCACAGTGGGGGAGGTCTGTAGCAGGGAAGGAGAGGACTTAGGTATCTTAGGTGCCCTTGGAGAGTCCCTCGAAGGGAATATATAGGGGGACATCGGGTGGCTCATTCGCCTACATGTACCCTCTAACCCCAACAAACTCCTGGAGAGCAAGAATGCGAGGCTCCCAAGGGCCGCGTAAGTCGGGCGCCGACGCTGCAGACTTCGAAAGAATAATGCAGTAGTAGAAAACATGTAATTATGTACTATATGACTACAAAATCCAATTTATTGTTAATATCATGATCGAAAACAGCATTATTCTAATAAGAGAACCATGCGATATTTCAGTTTCACAATAGTTGATTTGTTTTTTTGTAACATATCCGAATATGAGAATAACAGAATACTCAGGGCTGAACGTCTCGGTCAGAAGAGAGGCTTCCCCACTTGTGACTCTACTTATAACCATTTCAGGGGCTTATAAGGGGGTTATAAGTACAGTTATAACTGTTTCATAAACCCTAAACCCTAATCCCCAAACCCCAAACCCTAAACCCTAAACCCAAGCCCTAAACCCTAAACCCTAAACCTCCAAGCAGAAGAGAGGATTCCTGGACTCGTACTTCGAGCTGAAGGAAGTGGATGCCGCGCCCAACCGCTTCAACTTGTTAAAGGTTCGGACGCCTGGGAGACGGCTTAGGGTTTAGGGCTTAGGGTTTAGGGTTTCGGGTTTAGGGTTTAGGGTTTAGGGTTTAGGGTTTAGGGTTTAGGGTTTCGGGTTTAGGGTTTAGGGTTTAGGGTTTAGGGTTTAGGGTTTAGGGTTGAGGGAGACCCAGGGACTCCAATACCCCCTTATTAAGGAATAGTCCCTAGATGATAGTAGGGCCCCTTATATGGTTTGAGGAATATTCCTTAAGATTTCGGGGGTCTTGGAGTCTCTGGGAACCCAGACCCCCTGGGAAGATCCAAGAAGTAGAACCCCCAAATAGTACCCTATACTAGGGTTTAGGGGTTTAGGGTTTAGGGTTTAGGGTTTACTATGATCTACTTTTGGTATTCATAGGGGGTCTGGGAAGCTTGCATTACGTTTAGGACCTCGCAATTCTTCTTCTTCTTTGGGAGCTGGAGTTCCGTTGATTCTAGGAGACCGACAAAACCCACCCCAAAACGCAAGAACTCACTTTCAAAGCGCCTTTCGGGGGCCCTGGGCTTCAAACCATCAACCCCTAAGCATCAAATCCTACACACCAGAGAAAGGCGCAGAGACCCGTAAGCCCGAAACCTTGAAATGCCAGAAGGCGCAGCCCCAGGCCGCAGCGGAAATTTGAGTAGGTATGTCTGCCCTATGACCCCCATTCAAGGGACTAAAGGAGCGGTCTTTTCTAGGGGTCGTATGTGGGTCATGTAGGGCACCTTAACCCATCATCCCCAAAAGGCGTATGAGGTTTCGGACGCCCAAGGGCTTAGGGGCTCGTCCAGTCCTAAGGCTATGGATGCTAAATCGGCCATACCTGGGACTCTCTTGAGCTACAGTTTGATGGGTAGTTATACCTACTATACATACTAATTCAGGGTTACTACCAGTAGCTACGAAACTGTAGGTAAATAGAGCCCCAGGTAGGCTTCATGCCCCCTAAACCCTAAACCCTGGGCTCGGGGTTCGGGATTTCGGGTTTAGGTTTTAGGGTTTAGGGTTCAGGGTTTAGGCCAAAGGGTTAAACGGTTGTGGGTGAGATTTCTCTGTGTCAGCAGCAGCCGATCACAGCCAAAACGGGGTAGCTGGACACTCCACTTGCTGCCATGGGCTACGGCGATGGTAAGGGAGCCGGGGCCGCCATTTGATATGTTAGGGTTTAGGGTTTCGGGTTTCGGGTTTAGGGTTTAGGGTTAACTTGTCGTTGCAGAAGCTTGTGGAGTTGAACCCGAACAACAGAAACCGAACATGACAACGCACAAAACTACTTATATCCTAACCTCTTAGCACCAGAAGCCCTAAGCCCATCACGCAAAAAGACAAACCCGAACCTAAACCCCAAACCTAAAAACCGAAAACCCTAAAGCCTAAACTCAAACCCAAGGAAAGGGGGGTCCCCCCATGTGGTACGGGCTCAACCCCTGGATGATGATGATGATGAAGGGCAAGGCAGGAGAGATGGGCGGTTTGGGGTTTAGGGTTTAGGGTTTAGGGTTTGGGGTCTAGGGTTTAGGGTGTTCATGTCCACTTCCCGAGATTAAAAGATCTGAGGGTCTACAAGGCCAACCCGGAGGGGTGGGGTTTGGGGTTTAGGGTTTAGGGTTTAGGGTTTAGGGTTTAGGGTTATAGGGTTTAGGCTTTAGGGTTTGGGGTTTAGGGTTTAGGGTTTAGGGTTTAGGGTTTAGGGTTTAGGGTTTAGGGTTTAGGCCGACTGCCCAAGCCCGGATGCAAAAGGGTCTAGGGTTTAGGGTTTCAGTTTGTAAGCAGCTGCTTTTTCTGGCATTCCCCACCCAGCCCAGATGGAAAAAAGGGTTTCAGTTTGTGCTGAGACCCCGAAAGAGACCGTTGAGTGCTACGACATTGTTCCCAGGACGCCCGCTTCAGGAAAGGGCACCCTTTTGAAGGGCCGGGGGGCAACCTACATTCAAGAGGTAAAGCCATAGAGCTGGAGGTTTCGGGGCGCCTATACAGTCAAGCTTGGAACGTGTAATCTATTCCCTTATGGCCCCTTCCTAACTTCAGGCTCCTACAGTAGCGTTCCGGGTTTCCACACTAAATTGGAACCAAGCTCTGTCTCTGTTTGGAAATGTGGGGCTGCTCCATCTTCTCTAACCCCTCCCTCCCTCCCTTCCCCCTGGTTCAATATCTGCGGCTCTAGGGTCTAGGGTCTAGGGTTTAGGGTTTAGGGTTTAGGGTTTAGGGTTTAGGGTTTAGGGCTTCACATCTGCATGAGCCTCAGACCCCGAAGCCCCAAAGCTGGCCGCGCCAGGGAAAGGGCAAGGGTGGCCTCCGGAGCTTTGACCAGAAGCTGCCTGCTGGCTGCTTAAGAATGGTTTAGGGTTTAGGGTTTAGGGAGGGTTCGGGGTTTGACAGTTATTTAGTTAGAGTATTTGAGGTTTAGAGGTTGGGGATCCAGCGAGCGCAGCGGCTAGGTTTAGGGCTTCGGCTGAGGTATTTCAGGCCCAGCTGAGGAGAGTCCTATGGAAACCCCGGCGCGGGTCACAGTACGACCACTCACTCTGAGAGGAGATTCAAGACGCTACCTGAACCCTACGAGGAGATTCAAGAAGCTACGCTTACATCCCTTTTTGGATCCCTATTTTACTACGGCACCTAGTATTTAGGGGCTATGGCGCCGGTTTTTCTGGTTGAACCGCCCAAAGGCAAGATCCGATACGAAGTTCCTTTAGGGTTTATGGTTTAGGGTTTGGGGTTTAGGGTTTAGGGTTCTTAAGGGAGTTAGGTTCATGGGGCTAGGTACTGAGGGAACCTTAGGGAAGCTTAGGGGGCCTTTGGGAGTAGTAGGGAGAATGAGGGAACCGGGGTTACATATCGCCCTTGAACCACCCTCCCTTAACATTCCTATAGCCAAAGGTACGCGAGTCAGTACTCCCAGCCCACACTCAACGCCAGAAGTAACCCTAAACCCTAAACCCTGTACCTATGAGATGGGGCCCTACAACTCAGGAAAGTTTGGATCGGAGGCCTACCAGCTGACAATTGCAGCATCGACCTGAGTCTGTGCTGCACTGAAGCACGAAGCATCGAGATGAAACGACGAGGGCATGCACTCTTTAATTCTGGACTATACCTTAATTCGTTTTGATGTCCACATGATAGCTTGAGGTACATTCCGCAATTGAGGGGTGTTGGGCACTTCAATCTAGTGCTAGGTTAAGGGTCTGACGGTTTTCCTTCTTACGTTCATGGTTTAGAGTTTAGGGAATGAAGGGTGAGGCCCCCATACAGTAAGAGTGGCTTACTGGTCTTGGGGGGCAATCACATCTGGAGAGTGGCAAGGCTGCATGAAGGCTTTGCGTTCTGTTAAGCTGCTGTTTCGACCCTAAACCCTAAACCCTAAACCCCAAACCTATGCAGGTGGCAAAAGAACCCTAAAGCCCATGCAAACTCCAAGAACCGATATCCTCAGCTCTTTCTAAAGCTAGTCCTGCGCACCCTGGCCAAGGAACAAGAGGCTCAAAGAGCACATGTCCTCAGCCGGCGGGAACTGCCTCTACGCCGAGGCATTCCTCCGGCTTTCGAGCCCTAAATCCTAAACCCTGAACCAAAAGCGAGAAAAGCCAAACCGACACCCTAAACCCTAAGCCCTTGTAAACTCATAGGAGGCCACCCCCCCATTCGGCCGGCAGGAGGTTCCTTTTTTGTATTCCTAGGGGGCCTAGTGGGCGTTCTACGACCCGCCATGAGAACCTAACCCGCCTAAACCCTAAACCTGAAACCCGAAACCAAAAAAACCCTGCCCACACGAAAAGCCTGTCAGCAAAAGCCGGATAGTAAGCTGATCATGTCAGCCTCCGCAGGTGGGAAAAAGCGGAAATGCTGGGGCGGCTTTCAAGACACAGGAGGAGACTGTTTAGGGTTATGGGGGGTTATGGGGTTATGGGGGCAGGGTTTAGGGAGGAGAGAACGCTTGGGATGGTTGAGTCTGGTTCGTTGGCAGGGGGAGGCAGTTGGGGTCTGGGTTCAGGATGGGAGCGGGTTCGGGTAGGAGCTTCGATAAAGCTCCTGGTAGGGGGGGGAGCTTGTTGGGGTTGGATTGAGGGTTTAGGGTGTAGGGTGTAGGGTTTAGGGTTTAGGGTTTAGGGTTTAGGGTTTAGGGTTGAAGGTTCAGGATTGACAGTTTCGGGGCTGCCATGTTCTCGATCGGCCATTCATCCTTTCGGGGGGTCTAGATGGCCTGGGGCTTCCACACGGCATCCCCCAAACATGCACATTCTCTAAGTATGCCCATGGGCGCGTGCTTCGTCGACCTCCACTCCCGAAACTCAGAGCCAGGACTCCAAAAGGGACCGTAAATCAGAGAGCTACCGCAGCCATTGGGGGGATTCTTCAGAAAGCCAGCCTGTTTTGGACCCTAAACCCTAAACCCTATAACCCTAAACCCTAAACCCATATGCGCAGCGGTAGGAAGCGGTTGCGGCCATCAACGCGTTGAACGGCTCAGTGTTTGAAGGTATCCAGCTGCACGCCCTTCGGCTTCGTTAGGACGTGTCGGAGATTTCTGGAGTAGTTGGGTAGGGGCCTACCCTAAACCCTAAACCCTAAACCCTAAACCCTGAACCCTAGGGTTGAGGAGTTTGGGAGTGCAGGGTGTCGGGCTTCGAACTTGGGAGTTTGGAGGGGGTGTAGAGTGTACCGTACCCACGGCACCTTGTCGGGAGACTCTACAGGCTGGTGTCTCCCACAGCAGGCTGCGAAACTGGGTTTAGGGTTTAGGGTTTAGGGTTTAGGGTTTAGGGTTTAGGGTTTAGGGTTTAGGGTTTGCATTTTCCGGCTTGGCTAGCTCTGCTTTTTTTGTGGACTGTGAGCTGTGTTTGGGCGGTCTTGGGGTGGGCACCTCTGCACTGGGCTCGCCCACCCAGACCCTAAACCCCAAGAACCCAAACCCTAAACCCTAATTAGACCGTAAGCCCTCAACCCTAAGCCCTAAACCCTCAACCCTAAACCCGAAGCCTCAAACCCTAAACCCTAAACCCTAAACCCTGGAGGTCGACGAGTGGACCCGCAAAGAGCCGACTCCGCCCCCGGGCGTCTAAGGGCTCCCTGGCAAGTTTCGAGTTTAGGGGTTTGGGGATTAGGGTTTGGGGATTAGGGTTTGGGGTTTAGGATTTAGGGTTTAGGGTCTAGGGTTTAGGGGTTTAGGGGGGTTTAGGTGTTTGGGGTTTAGGGTTTAGGGTTTAGGGGTTTGGGGTTTAGGGTTAGGGGCTTAGGGTTTAGGGTTTAGGGTTTAGTGTTTAGGGTTTTGGGGTTTTGGGTTTGGGGATTAGGGTTTAGGGTTTCGGGTGACAGGAGAGGAGCTTGGGTTGAAAAGGGTTTAGGGTTTCGTTTGAAGGTTGCCTAAGATCCCTAGAAGGGGTTTCAGAATATGAGCCAAAGAGAAGCAGGTTCGGGGTTCTTATAGTCTAGGCTTCCACGAGTTAAGATCCCTATAAAGCCGTTTTTTCAATATGAACCGAAGCAAAGTAGGTTCGGGGTTCTTAGGGTGAGGTCTAGGCTTCCACTGTGCTTGGTTGATGTGTGTTCTGGAACGGGAGTGCTTTCTGAGTGTAGTCTACTAGTGTGGGAGAACCCTAAACCCTAAACCCTAAACCCTAAACCCTAAACCCTAAACCCTAAACCCTGTATAGTCTGCTAGTGTGGGAGCTGAGGGTTCTCTTCCCGGGTATCCCATTTCATCTATGCGGTGAGGGGTCGGTTGGTGTCAGATAAAGGCACACTGCGGGGCCCCACGAATTTGCATGTCTGCTTTGTGGGGCACGCAGACACCATTTGAGGTGTGGCCTTTGCAGCAGGTTTTTTGACCTTTCTGTAGGGGTTTAGGGCTTAGGGCGGTGGGATCCTCCTTGCAAAGAACATCGGGTGCAACCGTGGGGCCGGCATGAACATCACAACACGTCCAGGTACGCGTCAAACGCTGGGGCCCCAAGCACTGTGTTTTTCTGTCACATAAGGTCCCTTTGAGAACTGTTGGGAACAAGTATCTCTTCTGTGGGACAACAGTGACAACAGATTTGGGAGTTGCTAAATTGCTTAAAGGCCCTAAAGGCCCTAAAGGCCCTAAAGGCCCTAAAGGCCCTAAAGGCCCTAAACCCTAAACCAGCCATTTTTAAACCTAATCGTGGCATCGAGTGCAGGCCAAAGGTTGAAATCCTCATGGCGAGGATGGGACAGACAGGCTGGCCCCCCTAAACTCTGAGCCCTAAACCCTAAACCCTAAACCCTAAACCCTAAACCCTAAACCCTAAACCCTAAACCCTAAACCCTAAACCCTAAACCCCAAACCCCAAACCCCAAACCCTAGCATGCAAAGTGGATATTCTGAACCTTGCACCCTACCGCCACCAAGCCTGCGATCAGCCCAGACAAGCCTTCTGAGCACTTTCTTGGCCCTACGAAAGGGTTTAGGGTTTAGGGTTTAGGGTTTAGGGTTTAGGGTTTAGGGTTCAGGGTTTGGGGTTTAGGGTTTAGAGTTTAGGGTATAGGATCAACTCTGCCATAGTTTAGGGTGTAGGGTTTAGGGGTCAGCACCTAAAAATGCAGGTGCCCCTGCCCCAACTCCGGGACGAGCATCTGAGACGCTGACTCTGGAGGTCCACAAGGGTTCACACTGTGCAGGGTTTAGGGTTTAGGGTTTAGGGTGTAAAAAAGGGTTTCAGGCTCAGAATAGAGGATCAGATTCTTAAGGTACCCCTAATTTCGGAAACACGCACATCTTGGTAGCGCAGTGATGCCCTTCTGCCCTTTCTGACCATCAATGGTTCCCTTATAAAGCGGCCAACCCCCCAAAAAAGCGTACCAGGATTTAGGGTTTAGGGTTTAGGGCTTAGGGTTTATGGTTGCTGGGATTAGACATACTACGGGGTCCTACCCCTCAGCTCTTCTTACCATTTTGTTAGCGCATTCTTTTATGCATGGGAAAAATGGTAGCAGCCCGTGGGCAGCGATTTTCCAGCCTTTAAGCCCCCCTCTCATATTTATATATATATATATATATATATATATATGTAATATCTGTTTAGGGTTTAGGGTTCGGGGTTTAGGGTTTAGGGTATCTCGCTTCCCACTTCTGACATAAGCTCTTCAGAAACAAACTACTCAGACAAGGGATTGGGTGCTTCCTACTTGCCTCGACTCTTTCAAGCTTCAGGGTCTGGGAGTTTCAACGTAACCCAACCACTAGAAAAAAAACAAAAAAAAAACAACCCTCCTAGTCCTACCTTGAACCCCGAAAACCTTGAGTTTTTCGGGTTCTGCAACATTTTTTGTATGGGGGGGGGTCTCAGGTAACCTGAACCCCAAACCCCAAACCCGAAACTCTATTCACTAAACCCCAAACGTCCGCATCAATCCTAAACCACAGGAAGATAAATGACAATAAAATAAAAGCGAACCCTAACCCCGACCCTAAACCCCAAGCCCTAACCCCCGGAACCCTAAGCGCCAAACCATAAATCCTAAACTCCAAACCCTGAATCCTAAACCCCAATGCCTACACCCGAAGTTGTCCCTATCAAGCCTGGGGTAGCTGGACCTCTGCTGCGAACAGACCCCCGGATCAGGGCCGAGGCGTGCGAAGTCTCTTGGTTTAGGGCTTAGGGTTTAGGGTTAGGGTTTAGGCTTTCGGGTTTAGGCTTTAGGCTTTGGGGTTTGGGGTTTGGGGTTTAGGGTTTAGGGTTTGGGGTTTAGGGTTTAGTGTTTCGGGTGGGGGGAAGTGATGCGAAAGGCTCATGAATTTCCCGAAGCCGCTGGCCCTGATTCTGCCTGTAGTTGGATGTAGTCATGTGGGCCTTTCCCAAAATAGGGTTAAGGGTTGCTAGGTTTATGTATGTGTGTTAAGTTCGTTGTTTTTTTGTTTGTGTGTGTGTTTTTTTGGTTGCCGGGGGGTTGCGACCCCCTAGTAGTCCCCCCCAAAATAGTACAGTCCTCATTGTAGGCACCTCACTAAACCCTACACGTTTTGTGTGCCTGTGGGAGTCGAAGTCCCTATTTTGGGAAATGCCCATGTCATGTATCAGCTCACTTCGGGCACCCTGTGCCCGGACCCCACATCACTTTCTCGATTTAAATGGCTGACGCCGCAGCGCCAAAAATGTGAGTTCGCGTTTCGGGTTTATAGGCCTTTGGCGGACTGGAAGCTTGGTTGAAATGGGCTTAGGGTTTAGGGCTCGGGGTTTAGGGTTTAGGGGTAGGCTGTTCACCCCCCCACCCCTCGGCAACTTGTAGTTCCTAAAGCTAAGGAACGTATGGGTGAGGGTACGTAAGTCCCTCATTCCCTGCCAACAACCAGCAAATTCTAGGATTTCCATGTCAGCTTAAGGTAGATTCCTTAATTCAGGATTTGGGCTCTCTGGTTTTTGTCTTGGGCAACTACGATGAATTTCTGATTGCTTACAAGCCACAAAAATTCTCCCCCCCCCTCCCACCCCCATCAACAAAAAGAAATCACGAATGGGGGTGGATGTAGGGGCCTCTTCTTGTCCGCCCGATCCGGTTCTTGGGGCTCTTTTCTAGCTTCTGCCATGTACGAGCTCTTTTCTAGCATCTGCCACGTACGAGGTCACCAAGACTTTCTGGCACATCTCCGTGAACTTCAAGAGGCACTTGGGAGGGTTTGCAGACCTGCTTTTCGCACCTTGCAGCTCCCCCTTTTACCCAAGCGGAATCGGTTTAGGGTTTAGGGTTTAGAGTTTCGGGTTTAGAGTTTAGGGTTTAGGGTTTAGGGTTCATGGTTCAATGGGTTTAGGGTTCATGGTTCAATGTTAGTCAGGCTTAGTCACGATGACATGTTACGAGACGATCACCCGTCAGCATGTTGGAGGCGTGACCTGTTGATGGGCTCGCGAGAGTCGCTAGAGTCTGGGGGCCCAGTCAGTAGTAGTACCGGCAGCCCCGTGCCTGGGCAGTTTCTGGGCCCGGATGACAAAGCAAGGGTTCAGGGTTATCCCTTTCGGGCTTTGTGTGTTCCTGCGCACTTCACCTGAACCCTAAACCCCTAAACCCCAAACAGGACCTGGCGGATTCATTCTATTGCAAATGGACCAGGGCAATCCGGAATACTACTCCACAACCTGGAAGCCTTCTTAACATTTCTTCACCACCATGCCTTGCGACAACGGTCTGGGAGCACTGGGATCTAAGGGTTAGGGTTTAGGGCTTAGGGTTTAGGGTTTAGGGTTCAGGGTTCCGGATTTCAGGTCAGGGTATGCCGAACTCTTGAAAGAAGGCAGACCCCCCTTTCTAGCGTGCTGTGGGGCCTGGGGGTGTGATGTGGAGTTCTCCGACGTGCAGGAATCGCGTCAGGGAAACCCGAAAGCGCTTGGCAGACTCGGCCTCAGTGATCCCAGCAGCAGGTTAGGGTTGAGGTTAGGGTTTATAGTTTAGGGTTTAGGGTTTATAGGGTTGCAGCAGGATAGGCTGTTGACACCTCCAACCCATACAATCAAGGGACTAAAGGAGGGACCCTTATAGGGACCTTTTAGGGGTTGTTTGGGGGTTATTTAGGGGCTTCTTAGGTTTACAAGGAATCTATGAGGTATGTATAGGGGTTATACAGGGGAATAAGATTAAGGGTCCCTTCTAGGGGGTCCCTCCTTCTACCCCTTGCTGCAAAGAAGCCTTTCGCCTGCTCAGAAAAGCCTTTTTCGCTTGCTTATTGGGTTTAGGGTTTAGGGTTTAGGGTTTAGGGTTTAGGGTTTAGGGAATCAGAAACGAGTTCCAGTTGCAAAAGGCGTACCCTAAACCGCCTCTTCAGCCGCATTGGGGAGCCCCCTGGTCTAATGCGCTGGTGGTTCAACCCAACATTGCGAAGCTCGGCTGCAAACCCTCCGAACTCCGAACCCCAAACCCCAAGCCGAAGGCCAAACCCTAGACCCTTAAGCCCTAAAGCATGTGCCTCGCCTGGCTTGTCCGAGTGTAAGCGATGAAACCCCAAACCCGAAACCCGAAACCCTAAACCCTAAACCCTAAACCCCAAACCCCAAACCCCAAACCCCAAACCCTAAACCCTAACCCCGAAACCAACCAGCCCACTTATGAC